CGAGACGTGCATCTATGTGCAACTTCATAATTAAAAGTTAAAAGAATTTTTCTATATGGCAGAAATATGTACAAATAAATATTCAGTGCATTCGCTCATTAGCAAGGTTGCCACACCCGCCCTTCAATAAGGTACATTTTTCTCACGAATAATACACTGTATTCTCAAAAATTCTCTTTTATATCAAGGTAGACTGTGAGAGTTATATTCCCTGCTGTTCTAGATAAAAAATTATTATCGTTAGGCTATCTCTAAAAATAACTCAAAAAAGGGTTTTCCATGCCGGGATACTCTTTTTGACGTTTCTTAGTAACAAATGCAGATACCCTCTTTTTTGGTTCTGTACGATACGAAAATGTTTTAGAGAGTACGCACTGCTTGTTTTTATATTTGCAACTTGAAATCAATGACAAAAAGCAATGTATATAAAATTCAGAAATCATCACAATCAATTTTAGGATTTCAAAAGTCCAACTGAATTTAAAACAAATCTGATCTTTGTAAGCATAATCAAATACGAGAGAAATGTGCCGCGTTAGAAATCCCATTTTGGACATTGCATTGCCTTTAGCTCTTGAACGATTTAATACTTTGAGCTGAAATTTTTTTACAATAGTTTACTTATATAAGAGTTTTTCAATACTGAAAATCGAATACAAGATATAGGAAAAGTAGATATGATGTCGACGTCTTAGTCTTCAGATATAGATGATACAGTTTTTCACAATAAAGAGAAATTAAATTATTCTCTGTTCAACAAAATCGTCATTTTGAAAATCTTTAACTCAAAATATGCCAAAGAAAAATTCACTAGATAAAAAACAACATAAAATCTATATGCAACAGATACAAAAATATTTACAAACAGAAACAAAACTCAAATAACTGTGAATTTTTGCAGTAATTGAATTTTCTTTTTTAAATGGAACATTTGATACCGATCTAGTTTTTTCAAGAAAAAGTTCTGTCGTTAGAAAAAGCGTATCTGACGTCGTATTTGAGAAATAAAAAAATATTGTCTGGATAAATTTAACCATTTTGAAAATGAGTTTATAATCTAAGAGATTGATGAAATGATAGCGAGTGATAACATCAATTTCATCATTTTACTCTCGCGTCGATTCTCTTTTTTTCGTCATACAGTACATGAAAATGAAAAGATAAATTGAATAGATCATGTCTGTATTAGTTGATTGATATAAGTCGATATATGACATCAAAACCACTCTATTAACAAATACCAAAAGAAAAAAAAGCCGAGGGTGGAAATAAATCTTGATAAAATGACAACTAAAGCATAAGAAATATGGGCACATAAATATGAGACATAAATACATTTATTTGCCAATCTTGATTCAAACGCACATAATAAGACCATGTTGAAGGTCTCAGTAATTACAATTGGGAATGATGGCGACAAAACAAATTTTTGTTCTCATTGAGAAGGATAACAAACTAATGCAAACGATCGCTAACTTAAATATTGTAAATTTTTTTTTATATTACACATGTTAAGCTGATCCAATCGGAGAATATCATATATGCTAAAAATTTGGCCTCAGATTCACTACTACAACATGCAGTGGTAGAGTAGCGCAGTCTTTGGGTTTCATTGTTACTTACGAATGTTCGCTGTGGGAGAAAGATTGCAAAGATATATTTTTTTTAATAATTACCTCACATTCTACTAAGTAGGAGAATACTTAACCAGTTTCACATTGTACGTCAAATCTGCTAAATACTGTGAATCGCAAAAAATTGACAATTTCATCACTTTTTTCAAATAGAATCACAGGTATCTCCAGACATCATTCTACATGGAAGTGATTTAGCACTTCTGATACTGTTGAGTATGCTCTTTTGCTTTGTTTATAATATAGTATATCCGAGATGAACTTTAATTTTCTAAATTATGCTAGCTATAAAACGACTTTTATGGTTTAAAGAAAGACGGTCTTAAAATCCTTTTAGAAACAACGGCAATTTGTTTTATCCGTGCAGTATATCAGAAGACAGAAAGTACATTTTACATTTAGGTATAAAAGGTATGCTGTTTTCTTTTTTCATAATCAAAAATAAAAAATGATTGGTTTTGAATAAGAAATTGGAAGCAACAGTGCAAAACTGCTGTCTATAAATGATAATATTTAGGGAAAAAAATAATCAAAGTAGAACTATTTTCGTGTTATTGGTGCAAATCATGAAAATTAAAATTAGAAGATATAGATTTTCAAGACTAGTCAATGGCTACCTAGTTTAATTACCTTAGTTTTAACATCACAACAACCAAAAGAAATTTAAAAATAACCGTCTTTTTTGGTAGAAAATTCACAAATTCGAAACTCCTTAATATTTTCCACATAGATCTTCCACTTTTACATTTTGTATATAATGGTCAATACATTTTTTGTAAGGAAATGAACAATAAACGTTTTTATATCAGCTTTTTGGGAAAACTCTGCATCCGTTCGGCTCGCAGACAAGCTTTAGAAGAGTTGTTCCGACCTGGTCCGCTCCGTGGAGATCCGCGGATCCTCATGGGTTGTCTCGGCTCATGATGACCTCTGACTTGAAAGCTTAAAGTTTAAAAGAAACAAAAGTATTACTTCCCTGTAGAACGTACAAAGAAAAGACAGTATCTTGCAACAAAGAACATGTTCTTTTAAGTGAACTTTGTGTAATAAAATTTCTCTTCTGTTAATGAAAGAAAAATTATTGTCGCATAAAAAGTGGGTCATATTCCGACGTACAATGCATCGAAAAATTATTCATTTATCTTTATTTTTTATTTTTTTTTCATTTACTTATTAAATTTACGTTTTTCCTCCGGATCGGATCGAACCGTGCCAAAATTTATGAGCCCGCATACGGGCCGGAGCTATCACTGTTCCAAATCGCTTTCATCAATATGTAACCCTATATGTGTATACACTAATCATTTTCAAATTATAATATTTAGTGCACATGTGTTCATGAATCTTTTCTGAATTCGTGTGTATCTATCTGTACTTCTACTCGTTGATTTGTTCGCTAGATATAAAATCAGATTTTCCGAGGGTATTGAAGTCCATAGTGGATATGGATTTCTGAAATTTCTGACGCTGCCGACAGTTGACATATATACACTGTCTATCGTAGCATGAGGAAGGAGAAAGCGGAAGGGAAAAATTCTTTTAATTGTACAGTATGTGTGTTGTGCAGTGGAAGGAAAGATAAAAAGACATCGTGTTTGAGGCTGTTTCGTGCATACCTGCCTGCCTATTCGTATAGTAGACTATAGGGTGAGAAAAGAAAAACTGTTGTGTATGGTTTGATAATATGTTTGTACAGTAGAAGATGTTTGTGCAGTCTATGTAGCACATATATGCATATACATATACTGCAGTGTGTGTGGGAGGGGGGAGGGGTAGATGAGAGTGAGGCGCAACCCAATATTTCTTACGATAGTTACTGTAGATGTTAACTACATTTTCAGAATGTATAAGCATGGCGGAGTATGGTGCAATATTGTCTGGTCCCTATCTGTCGGTATGTTGGAAGTGCGGATGAGGATTTCGCGGATTTGTGGGACTTCAATATCATTTGGTTACGAGAGTAGACAACCCTCCACCCTCACATGTATACTTACTGTCTTGTTGTTTATTGAGTCTGATATACTACTACAGGAAAGTTCTGGTTGACTGCAATAGAGATTCTTTTTGTTATTCGATAGACAAACATTTTTCTCCATTGTACAACAGAAAAACTTTTTATTACACTATTATTGTTCTAAGATTTATCAGAATAACAAATTGCTTCGTACTGTTCTAATATAAACGCCTTTATTATTTATTTTCACAAAAAACTTTAAACAATCGAAGGCAAAAAAAAGAAACGGCAAAAACAACAAAAAAAAAACACCGGCTTTATTGTTTCATAAATCCGTCCGTAAAGCATGAAAGATAAATATCTACTTTATTTGTTTCACAGGACCGGCCCGAATTTGTGGTTGAAGTGCGTGTGCAGAACAGTGGCAGTGAATAAAAAAGAAAACGCTGAACAATGAAAAAGCAAAATACTAAAAAAAGAAGAGAAGGGATATACAGTTACGTCTACTTTTTGCACACACCAACGACATGTTCAGCTGTACTCTTAATTGACTAGAAAACAAAAGAATTTTGCTGCTTAAATCCTGCTAATCTATCGGTGGTATATAAAATATCATGCAAGAAATCACATACGGCATTTTAAAATAAAACCTGACAAATTGCGAAACATAAGAAAACTAAAGAATAAATTGAACGATAAAAAGAAAATTGTATCATTATCTGTGATAATCTACGCAAACAGCCAGGATTGAGCTAAATGGCTATACAAATATATGTGCATATTTAGATAAAATAAGTTGTGTTACTTTTACTCTTGTATTAAAAGCAAAAATAATGCATACCAGAAAAAAACGGAGGCATTAAAAGAATACCGGCACCAGCCAGAATAATAAAGTATTTCGGTATGAATGTTCCGCTATTGTACTACTTAGCTAAATCGATCATTTCTTTTTTATCCAGTTTAAACCTGTCAACTCTTTAAGTAGATATGAAATAAACGCAGCTTTCGTCAAGGAAGATAACATAAAAGAAGACGCGTGAGTGTATGCATAGACTTTTTTCCTATTATAATTTTTTTCTAAAAATAATATAAATAAAAATGGTTTGTTCTTATTTCGTATTCTAAAAAAACAAAAGAAAAACTGATAGTTACACTCGCTTAACATCGAAAAAAATACATAGAAACAAGACAATACAATTAAAAAGATACTTAGAAAAAGAAAAGAAAATAAATAGGTGGGTTTTTCTATGTACACATCGAACACATGAACAGACAGCAGAGCTTCATAATCCCAAAACAGCAGCTCTTTTGTTTTGTATTTTATTTATCAAACACGCAAGATATCTATGTACATCGAAACATTGTGATTATAACACTTTTTTCACTGTGATACTTTGCACTATGATCTTCAATCATCTTTTTTTTTTGGTTCCATCCATTGAGTTAGATGTTTTTAATAAAGTATTTTCAGATGATTTTTTACTTGAATTATCGTTATGTATCTTAGTTAAAGATGAGTGATGTTGCTGCAATGGTGAACCGGATTTTGTGTATGTTTCATCATCACTGTCCTCACTATCACTCCGTTGATCTTTTTCAACCTAAAACAAAAACAAACAAGATGGTTTAAATAATGAATGATACCATACAAACAGTTACAATAGTTTGTCTCAAAAAGGGTGAGAAATTATTTCTCAACAGCGTAAATCATGATGATACTTTAGTATTCTAATGAACTTTTACTATATAGATGTTGCAAGAATGATTTTCACTGAATGTAAACATAAAATAACTGTAAATATCGAGAGAACGAGAGAGAGTACTAATCTGTCATTTTATTTCATGAATTAATAAGAAATCATACATTTTCTAGTAAACCTATATAATTTTTAAATATATTCCGACATAAATGAAAAAAAATAATCAATTTCACTTTCACATGAACTGGACTTATTAATAGAAAGCGAAGAAAACATTCTTTGCCAATTATAAGTAACATTGTTAAACGATTTATTATATCCATCATTTTTCCCTTTTCTTAAATGCCATTCTTTTAATATTGTGAAGAGTAAGAAGAAAAATGAGAATTAAATTAACGTGAGATATTCAGATGATAGTCTGAGACAGATGAGAAATAACTTTACATTTTTCTACGAAAAAAGACACACACACAAAAGAACGAAAGAAAAATGGTTTTAATGAAGGTGTGATGAAAGAGATAAAAAGACTTTTATACTAACTAGTTTTGTACGCTAAAATCAAAGAGCATAAATCCTTCTTCGGTAATCAATATAATTATTTATGTAAATATCTGATTTCAGAAGAACAGTATTGTCTTTTGTGAGATAAAAATATTTTTCGGATTAATGTTGAAAAGATCAATGATCATGTTGATAGCTTAGTTTCCACTTCATTTTTTTCAATGTAAAGAATGTTATTATTGATGAAATAAATTTTTTTTCCATGACTGAAAACTATTTCTTTAAATAGCCCTTTTAAGTGAACTCATAGAGATAACTGATGTGTAGTTTAACACAATAACTTTTTAACGCTAAAGTTCATTTGAAAGTATTCGAAAAATACATCAATAGAAAGATATTGAGTATCATGTCTATCTGAATTGAAGAAATCGTCGTATCTAGTTTCAAAGTAAATACGTACACTCTTATTTTGTAAATAATGAATTTTCTCTCTATATAAAGGAAGTAATTTTACTTTCTTTGTTCGATGTTCAGTCATGACAATAAATAATGTTCTTTCATGATGAGTATTCAAGACGCGTACGATAATACCTTTACATCTTACGTGGAAATTTAACACGTACTCTATCGTTCAAAAATTCGGTTTATATAAAAAAAATAGAGAATAGAACACGAACAAGAATCTTCTTAATATATTTCAGTACTTCATAACAGCACTATACCCGTTCCATTAAAAATAATCGAAGACCTATCGTGTTCGAGACTATTTCGTACATCTCTTTAACACACCACTATGAAAAGTTATGAGCTATTTCTCAAAACTGTTTGACTGTGTAGCTATGCCTTAACAAAAGTTGTTGATACCCCTTATTTTACATAGTTAAATCTGATGGGAAACGCTTCGTGAGTGCATGACGACGATACGATAGCCTGTTCTTCATTCGTTTATGATCAATTTGACAGAAGTTGATACTATTTTTCTAGTTGAGCCAAGTGCACACTTATCTAATGACAAGATATTCGCATACGATTACCTTTCCGGCTTTCAAAGCTCCAATAGCTACTTGACATATAAGATAAAACCAGAAATAATGAAGACACTGCAATAATATTAATAAACCATTGAATAGATAAAAAGCGGGAAAATAACCTAATATTTCTACTTCTTCATAGATAGTTGTGTATAGAACTCTAAAAAAAGAAGTAAAAGAGAAATTCTACAAAGCCATCACAGTGTAACACTTACTTGTACGGAAAATAACACAATCTCGTCACAAACCACACAAGGGCAAATATCACAAACAATGTATCACAGACACGCTGAGCACGAGCATACTTAGCCATTTTTGCGCTCTAAAATATAGAATTAAAGTAGAGACGTTGTTGTATGGTTCTAAATGTTACCTCAAGCCAATAATCTCCACAATCGTGTATAACAAGTACAAGTGATCCAACGCGAACAAAATTGACAATGTATGAAAATGATAATAACGATATAGTAGCTATGTGATGAAGAAACATTTGCCAAAAATCCTATGCAAAATACAGCCGAATAAAACAATGCACTCTTCTTAAACGTTATCTAACCTTTCGCTTAACATCGATAAATTGTGAAAAAACTAATGACCAATAGAATGCTAACTCAATCATATAATACCAAAATATATCTTTTGTTAATTGTTGATTAGGATGGTTTAACCAACAGTGCCGCGTATCCCATACCCATGATTTCTTCGTAGCAGAAACAATAAATTACCCTCCCCTATCATTGATGAAAGCTGTTCTACTTACATTACGAAGAACAATGATACCATAAATAAAGACAGATAAATAAAATACGAAACGCCAACAAGATTCACTAAATTTGGCTAATGGTGATACTCGATGATAAGATAATTGGGATGAAGATTTTCGATTTTCATTTGCTGTTTTTGATAAGTCACCATGACCACTCTAAATGAGAAAGCAGAGTGTATGTGAAAGTATTCGTACTAAAAGCAAACGAGAAAGCATGCATTTTTTCTAACAAAACGATGTAATCGTGTTCCATTAATTATCATGTAACTGATGAGAAGACACATTCCTAAACGCACGCATACGCGACATGTTCAGTCATTTGAAAAAAATTAGAATTAAGAGAAAATTGTGTTCAACGAGAAACATCCCCTATTTGCGAACTACAAGATTTGTAACTATAGCAATATATAACGTACTGATGAGTTTTCACGATGTATGACATTAGTTGGATATTGTTGTTTGTATGTTGAATTTGATTGATTATCATTTATTACATCTATACTGTTCCCTTTTTTACGACTAGGTTGTTGTTGTTGCTGAATGCATCTTTTATTTGAACTCTGCATGTCACGAATACCTAAAGAACGACCGTATGGTTGTGCGATATACCTAAATGAATGAAAAGAGAAGCTCACGAATGTTTTTCTCCTGCCCTTCGCTTACTTTTCAAATATCAATCTGGCTATATAGAGTACACCGGCAAGCGGATAAACATAAAGCAAATCGTGTAATAACGGTAAACGAACACCGTTATCTTCTATTTTTGAAAAACCTTTCCATGTCACATTCTTTGGTAACCAAAAATTTTCATTCCAAATTGTTGCCGATATTAAATCCATGTAAAAAATTCAGATGAGTTCACCCTAGTAACTTCCACTACAAACACGACGATGATACTATTACTACTCAGACTAAGACATTGGACTGCTTTTTCTATAATGAAAGAGAGAAAATAATTTGCCTACACATAAGTCAATACATTTTTTAATTTTAACAGTAAAATGAACAATTCATTGCTGTAAAGTCTATATTTGCACATTAAGCTGATGATACTTACAATAACCGCATCGGTATTGAAAATCTAAAACGTCTTTTTTTCTTCTTTCCTTTTTTTGTCTCTCTTTTGATGATTCGATTATGCAATTTTTTCGTCTTTTAGTCTAGTTGCAAGAATCAACTCAGTATGCTATATCTTTGTCTTATATTTTTATTTATTTTTATTAGGTGGAGAGAAGATAGGAGGATATAATTTCATTTTTTTTTTTCTTTATTTGATTTCAATGGATTAATTTTGGATGTTGAGGTACATATTGGAATGACCAATGAACGCAGTACTTTCGACAAGAGAAAAAAGGAGAAAACAGGTAGCTTCACAGTTCCAGTATTCAGACAAAGATTACTGACGATTAGCTAATCTGGAAAATGGGATAAAGTGAAAAAAAAGTATAAACTGTTGGATTCTCATTGGTCCTTTGGACCATCTTTTCTATCGATATAGTGGGCCAATGAGAGAATTAAGACTATCATATGGCAGATATTGTCTTTCTTTCAATCTTATGTCGGTATTTTTGACGTTTAGCGCACTGTCCCGAAATGTTACGGTAAATGTGTAACAATATCATGCTAAAAGTGTAGCAATGTTACGGTAAAAACTGGATGTCATGGTTTTACCGTAACATAGTCACACGTTTAGCATGATATTGTTA